GGACTAGGTGCGTTTCTTTAAGTCTTCCTACCAATATGACCGAGTTGCGAAAACAAGGTTAAACAACTTCCACAATATTTATATTCATTTCATTGTGGAAAATACAACTATCTTTTTTGAGTTATTTATGCTGACTCTAGCTTTTGTCTGCATTTTATTCCACAATATTCCTCACAAACGCAACGGGACTTGGCTTTCTGTAATCCTGATTCTAGTAAGTGATACAATTTTATTTCCCCCTGAGGAAAATATGTTTTCATTTGGAAACTCTGGACATGCCCTACTCAAAGGCGTTGTCATCATCCCCAATCATCTGGACTGCAGTTTCGACTTAGTTCGGGTCTCGCTGACACCTACATCGGGAACCAAGCCCGGGTGGTTGGGAGTGTATTTTCGACATGCTACACATAGGGCAGCATGAATTACAATAAAGGTTTGGCCTCTCTCCCATCACAGCATTATTGTGTGATTTTCCATTATGCAAATGTTCATTTGCCATTATAATAGACTACGTTACTTATATTCATACTTAGTAGTCTTAACTATATCAATATATTTTGGATAAGGCGAGATTTTACTCACCTACGGTTGACAACATTATCCAACTGGTAGTTGAATGTTCCCACAATATTATGAGTAGACATCACGCTTCCATTTTCATCACCTTAAACAAAATAGGATAAAACATCTCATATATATGGTCTATTGGTAGTTTATAAAATCTACTTACAAACGAATAATAAGTAATGATGTCGATTGCTATAGCAGATATAACTGCAGAGTGCGATATGGGATAAATGCCTGGCTTTCCCTGAAATTCACTTCTGCCCTGTGACGCAATGTGGCGTAATGGTTAACACGTCGAGAGTAAACACTCACTCTTCATGGTTCGAGTCCCGCTGGGGACTAGGATGAGACCTAAGCGATGTTAAAACAGCAGTCCATTTCTGCCTGGATGATAATACCTTTTAGAAAGGAAAAGCTGTGTCAAATTTGATATAAATGTAAGGTCTACTTATATCATTGTGGGGAAATTCAATTACCTTAAACAAAATAGGGTGAACATATCTCATAGGTTGACCACATTTTTCATATTATTCTCAAAGACATTCAAGAGGTTTTGTCCCAATAATTCGTCACATTTCAATCCTTATGTATACTTTTCTCTGGTCCATGGTATATTAGCAAATCTGATTTTGACACATTGTTAGGATGCCAACGGACAACCGCGCGACAAATGGAATATGTGCCGGGTGGATGAAGAGCCGTTGGTGTTGCAGCAGTTTCTCCGGTTCATGGAGACCCGGCAGTTGGCCTACGAGATGCTTGTTGGTCTTGGCCGTCAGCTGCAGTATCTACTGCATCATCAGGCCCAGCCGCAGTTGGAGGTGACCAGCGAGGCCGAGAAGAAGACGGACTTTGATCGTTTGACCAGTTCGGCCGCGATGGCGCAAGTCGGTGAGGCTGACGACGGCGGCAGCTTGTGTCGTGTCCCCATCGAGGCGGGCGGAGGAGGTAGGGCAGGTGGCAACAGCACCGGAGCCAGGCATCGGATGAGCGGCAGCCGACCGGGGCAAGATGAATCGTCTGCGTCGGGCCGCAACATTCCCCTGGCCTCGAGAGAAGGGGGCCGCTGCGCCCCAACTGGGAGGAACTGGCCGAGTCTGCGTCTGCCGACGAGCCCAGAAGCGACCGGCTGTCTGCCGGACTGCCTCAAGACCGAGGCCTCCGGTACCGACGGAGTCGAGAGCCAGTACCCTTCCGAGGCGAGCGACTCGATCGGCTCAGTCGAGGCTCTGTTGTCGCGTTTTCGCGGCCACGATCCGGCTCGACCGCCCACCCAGTATCGGCCAGACAGCGCCACCAGCACCAACACCAGCACCAGCGGACTCTTCGTCCTGTCGAGTCGGGCGGTCGAAGAGCAGCACTCGTCCAGCCTCACGGTATCCACCCTCTCGGGTAGCTCCTCTTCGTCCACCTCGCCCCAGGCCGGCCTCGGCGACCACTCTTCCACCCGCCACTCTGCCAAGTCGATGGCATCTCCGACCAGTCCAAGACTGACGCATGGACAGCCTGGCCTCAGACTGGCGTCCAAGTGCAGACTGGACGGGCTCAAGGCGGCCTTCTGCGAAGGCATCGGTGATCCTGCGTCCGGACAGACGAGGTCGCCAGCCAACAACGATTGCCTACGATCGCTTCCTCAAACTCCGCCGAGCACTCCGGTCTCGAACCCGCCATCACTGGCCGGCCAGGCAACCGGATGCCCTACCGATGCAACTGTCACTAGCGCCAATAGCAACCACTTTCTGGCCGCCATGACAGCAGTCGCTTTGGCGTCGGGCGGCCTGCCCTTCACCATGAGCCCCTTTGGCCTGGCCTCGCTGATGCCAGGCCTCCAGGGCCTACCGGGCCTTGGCAACTGTCAACAAACAGACATTAGACCTGCAGATCGCAGCTTGGGCAACTGTAGAAGTCAACTAGTCATGCCTCCTGAGGGCGTAACGCTGCCCACTTCCCTCCCCTCCTCATTATCTTCCTCCTCTTCTTCCTCCTCCTCCTCCTCCTCATCTACTCCTTCTACCCTTTCCTCCACGTCTGCCTCGTTCAGAGCCGCATTCGCCATGCTACCCTCCTACGCAGCCTCGACTGCCTCGTGTCCGCCAGCCTCGCTGACCTGCGGTCCCGCTGGCTCTGGGCTCGAGTCTCTTCCTCTTGGACTCCCGCTTCAGCTCGCTTTGTCTTCTGCTTCGTCTTCCCAATCGTCGGCTCATTTCCCTCCGTTCACTTCGACTCAGCCCAAACACGCCTCTCCCACAATCCACTCCGCATGCCTGACTGGCTCCAACGGCCTCGTTGGCCAAAGGAATTCACCGACCCACGGACTCGACACCTTTTTCACCGGCCTCGAAGCGTGTGCAGCCAAGCCGGCCATTCGCGATGTGCCCCACGAGCGGAATCGGCCTTCCGACTCTTCAATGGGCAGCCCCACCTTCGTCACCTCAGCCGCATCAACTGCAGCTCTCTCCTCCTCCTATTCCCCTCTTCCAGCCAACCATGCCACCTCTCCCTCTTCCTCCTCCTCCTCCTCCTCCTCCTCCTCATCTTCCTGCTCCTCCTCCTCCTCCC